GAAGAAGAAGAAGAAGAAGAAGAAGAAGAAGAAGAAGAAGAAGAAGAAGAAGAAGAAGAAGAAGAAGAAGAAGAAGAGCTGACAAATAAAACAAAAACAAAAGCAGTTAAAAGCACAGCCCCACAGCCAGCCTGGACTAAAACAATAAAACCATAACAAATCCAACCAAATGAGGGTCCCCACAAACACATCAACTGCAGGCCTGAGACCAAAGCCAGGTCTTCAGTGCTTTTCCCTAGGAGAGAGGGTGCTGTCCATATGTCTGGGGGGGATACTGTTCCAGAGGGTGGGGACTGTAACAAAGAAGGTACTCTTCCTTGGTCCATAAGATGACAGCATTTAATAGAAGAGACCTGGAGGGTATGCACTCTGCCAGAATGTACTGGGCAGGCAAAAACAGATAGATAAGCGATCCCTCAGGTGGCCAGACCCTACACCAGTTTACAGTGCAACAGTAAAGTACAACAAACAACATCAATTAAAACAGCATAAATAAAATAATAAAGCAGTAAATGCTACTAAATACACACACACACACATGCAAAACAGCCATCATATAAAGTCATAAAAAGTGTAAAGATTAAAAAGAACGCTTGCTGTAACAATAGATCTTTAGGTTTCTGTTAAAATCTGCCAGTAAGGGTGGGGTCCATACCCCCTATGCTAATGGAAAGTAATTCACAGAAATACATGGTAGTGAGCTCTACATAATACATGTTTCACTGAATGCATGCAATGAAAAAAAGATACACCTTATAGATTCCTAGAATTGAAACAGACCTCAAAAGTCATCTAACTCCTGCCATGAAGGGTGACTGGAGGGGATTCAGTAGTGTGTTACCTGTGGTAGATGGCCATACAGCTACTCAAGATGCCATAAGTAATGGTGAAATAGGTTTGTTTTACTGAACACATGAAGTCGCTGTTAGCTAAATAAGACTTCCTGAAGTCTTGTCATGAAAGAGTTGGCTCAAATTCAAATTGAAGATTTTCAAGGCCAGCATTCTTCTGTTCTTTGCCATCACATTAAGAATATATTTACTATTCTGAAGGAACAAGAAAAGTTCTAGCAATCTTTTGATTTTTTGTTGTTTTTGCATTTTTCCTTCATGCACAGTTTTTATTTTCTGAGCAACAAGATTGATCTCACAAAATTGCTAACATCACATTCATTTGTTCACTTTAATCATACAGATTTGCAGAATTCATCGGCGAAGTGTTCAGAGTCTATCCACAACTCAGTTACACTGATTAATAATCTGACTCAGCACTGACACAGAACAGTTCTGCATTGTCAGCTTGCTTCAACCAATTCCGAAGAGGCCTATTAGTGAGAAAATTAAGGGGGCATTTCAGCAGAATAATTTTTCCTATGCAGAATACTGCTGATTAAAGTTTAGCTGTACACATACATGCATGTTTTTGGATGACTCTGGTCCCAGATGAGGATTTGCAGTTTCAAAAGGCACTGGATGATCCCTGTAGTAGAACTAAAATCAGCTGCCTATGTAAATCTTTCTTACTATATCAAAGTTGTTCATT